TAAGGGGGGAAACGCGCCAGGTTCCGAAACAACGGGCCAGGTGTGAAAGCACCCTTAGACTCGGATGATCAATTTTAAAACATTTGAAAAGCAAGTCATGTAAAGATTGCTTTCAGTTTATGATGTTATTACTATCTCCAACCAGGAGAGGTCGCTATTTCCAGCCGCTCCCCTATTAATTTCAGAGTAGTAGGACGTGCACTAATGTAAACATTCATTAACATTAGCAAGTAATAAATGAAAAACTGACCATGAAAACAGTATTTTCAAGTCAAGATGGTAAACAGATGATCTTTTTACCAAGTTCAACAAGTTCAAGGGGATACCCATATGTTTGGAAATCTGTATTTTATTTAAATCGCCATCACACATCTCACGCTCACAAACATCGGGGACGACAGAATTGCACTTGCCTCAAATTTCAAAGCTAAAATTCATAGTCAACAAAAGCTTTTTGCCAAATGCATGACAGAAATGTTTGCACTGGACTATGTTCTTATTAGGGTTTCCGCGGGTCCTTAAAACGTCTTCAGTTAAATTGTTTACATTTAAGGCCATGCAAACTCTTAAATGGTACAAAAAGTCTAAATTATAAGAGGTCTTTGGGGACGGAAAGACAAATTTATATGTTATTTAATATAATAATTAATTGATAATAATTGTTTAAATTAATATAATAATTGATACTTTTGACTCTTTTGAAAATTGTTTAAAGGCTGAAATGTGAAGTGCAGATCTTAAAAAGGTCTTTAGAGGTCTTAAATTTGATTTTAAAACTCCTGCAGATACCAGGTTATTTTATGGTGCCATTTAGAATAACTATTTTTTTTAATTAAGCCCTTTTTAACTGTCCTTTTAGGTTGTTTTGAGAATGTTCTGTAGGCTACTAATAAAAAAATGGACCTCTGTATATTTGTTTGTTGCAAATTTACAGACAATGCAACTGAAATGTTTACATTGGCTTGTAATATTTCTGTCCACTGACAACAAAGTTTTCCTTCTGAATTAGCCTAACTGCACAAGTTTTATACTTAATAAAATATTTAAAAACAAATGACATTAGTTATACTTTAATTTCCTTCAATAAAAAGGAAATTGAGTAAAACGGTGTAAAAGGTGTGTGGACGTGGATTAGTAATCTGGCCCCTTGGTATAAAGAAGAAAAAATGCTGGCCCTCGTCACTATCAAAGTTGCCCATCCCTGATCTACATATTTATACACACACACTACATTAGTGAGTGATAAAATTGTCAAGAAAAAGTGGCAATTGTGAGATATAAAAGTTCAATTCTGATATATAAAACCATACAGAGTTCATATAGACTCTTTTTTTTTAAGTCACTCACCACAGCCTTCCTCATCCGCACCATTCAGACAGTCACTTTCACCATCACACCTCCATATCATAGGCACACATGTTTTGTGTTTGTCTCCACAGTTGAACTCTTTGGTTATTTTATTTGTATATTTTTTCTATTGTATATGCCCTATTGTTTGTAATTTTCTTTCTTTTTTGTATTACTGGCTGTTTCAGCTCACTGCTGTTTGTTGACAGTGAAACTGCTCTGAAAGAATAGGTTTAAGGGTTGCGGAGCATTTTGGGATTTTTATGAACTCACAGACAGGTGCCCCCTGACAAAGTTTTGCTTAGGGCCCCCAGAAGTCTAGGATCGGCACTGCTCCTTAAAACTGCAGTGCACCAAAGACAAAAATGCTGTTTGAAACAGAAAAGATGAGATTTAAAGAAATAAGAAATGTCATTCACCACAGCCTTCCTCGTC